TGTGGCTGTAGGCAAGTTAAATTGTTCCTCAAAGTGTTCTTTCCAGCGTTCAAGGCGTCTATCCTGAGAGCTAATTAAGGAGCCATTTTTCTCAGAAATAGTCTCACTTATGAATTGCCTTCTCCCGCCCGATTCTGTGATGAGTCTAAAGAGTTGCCTAGTGTTGCCTATCGCCAATGCTTTTTCCATCTCTTTCGCCTTTGTCACCCACCACTGTTCACGGTCCTTGCGGAGACTTTTAGTAAGTTTCCTTTTGTGCAGCTTTCGCTCCTCATTGAATTCGGAGCTCGCCGGAATAAGTCTTCTAGCATCTATCAGTTCGGATGAGGCAGTCGAAATCCAGTGGTTTTTACTCACCTTTGGATTTGTCTTATTCACAGCTTTTACAGCTGTATCTATAGCTGACTGAATATTCTTCCAGGCTTCTCCAGGGTGAGCACAGCTGTCGATTCAGATATGCGTTTAGCTAGTTCTTCCTCAAATAGGGATTTAGTTTCCTGATCGAGCTGGGGACGTGATGGTTTTACCGCCAGCTGTTTCCTACGTCCGTTCAGTCGTAAGCACACACGAGCCCGGACCAGTGCGTGATCGGTATCTACACACGTGTTCCAGAAGGAGCGACAATCTCCTACCGACCCACGCCAACGATAGCTTATTGCTATGTGGTCTATTTGTGTCCAGCGTTGGTTTGATGATGGGGGTCGCCAGGTTAAACAGTGTCTCTCCTTGTGTTTAAAGTTAGTGCTTACAAGAAACAAATGATTATCTGAACAGAACTGTAGGAGACGGTCACCGTTGTCGGTTCGCTGGCACGGAACTCCATAGGTGCCACCGACATCCTTCTCAGATTGACACAATTTCCCTACTTGAGCGTTAAAGTCACCAGCTAGAACGACTATATCTGAGCGTTTAGCCTTTCTCACCAAACTAGACAGCTTTTGGTAGAACTCATCCTTCGTTTCATCCGAACTGCAGTCAGTGGGGGCGTAGGCGGAGATTACGAAAAGGCATCGGCGAGTAGTGCAGTCCTTTCTCCTTCTTACTGATCCGTTCAGACGGACAGCACACATTCGGCTATCTACTGGGATCCAGTCAAGCAATGTCTTTTCTGCCCTAGTACTCAGAGCTATCCCTACGCCAGCTAATCCCCGTGAACTAGCTGTGGCATCTCCTGACACCCTCAAGGTGAATTTTGAAGATTCATCCTGTTGGCCAGGTGGGGTTAGGTGAATAACCACACTTGGGTCTTGTATGCGTGTTTCTGAAACACAACATACATCAATGGCTCGAGATGCCAGGGTCTTAGCTAGTGATGCTTGTTGTCCTATTTGGCAAAGTGTCCTAACATTAAATGCTCCTATATGAAATTGGTGGCGTGGCTTTAGGAGACTATCCGTGGTGGTTTTTTGGCTTTCGTCGTTTTTAGTGGACACAGAGTGAAGAGGGAGTGAGGAGCCATCAAGTAGAGGAGTTGCATCACTGGGGGGAAGGTAAGGTAATAGAGATGAAGATGAAGACAAAGATAAGTGAGGATTAGAGAGGTTTTGTGTGCATTTCGGATTGTGAGGGCGATTGTTACTTCCCGGCTGCCCACACCGTGGAAGTTGGTTGCGTGACCGCAGAGCCCAGGGGACAACTGCTTGAGGCCGGTCACACGCGGCCTGTTTTTGTTCGTTCTTTGTTGTTTTGTGTGCCTCAGTAGCATACTTATCACTCCCGCCCTGTGACACGGCAGCAGGAAGCGCGGTCGTTGTTAATCCGGGCCACGGCCGATCCGGCATGAAATTTTGTGAATTTGTTTGGATCATGGTATTGGATGAGGTAGCTGCTTTTTGTTTAACCGCTATCCAAACAACCTGCCTGGCATGGTAGAACCTCAAGAGACATAAGTCTCAGCCAGTATAGCTTGATTAGGTCATTGCGGTGTTCAAGCCCGACCACCACGTCAAGGTAGCAGCTTTCGGTCGGGCCAGTCAGTCACACACTGGATACCACAGAGACACTCACCTGAATTCGAAACCACACCTATCATTCTCCCAATACAACGAACGACTCTTCTTCACTCACGATCTACACACAAATCACGCTACCATTGCTGTGTGGTCTATTTGTGTCCAGCGTTGGTTTGATGAAGGGGGTCTCCAAGTCAAACAGTGTCTCTCCTTGTGTTTGAAGTTAGTGCTTACAAGAAACAAATGATTATCAGAGCAGAACTGTAGGAGGCGGTCACCGTTGTCGGTTCGCTGGCACGGGACTCCATAGGTGCCACCGACATCCTTCTCAGATTGACACAGTTTCCCTACTTGAGCATTAAAGTCACCAGCTAGAACGACTATGTCTGAGCGTTTAGCCTTTCTCACCAAACTAGACAGCTTTTGGTAGAACTCATCCTTCGTTTCATCCGAACTGCAGTCAGTGGGGGCGTAGGCGGAGATTATGAAAAGGCATCGGCGAGTAGTGCAGTCCTTCCTCCTTTTTACTGATCCGTTTAGACGGACAGCACACATTCGGCTATCTACCGGGATCCAGTCAAGTAGTGTCTTTTCTGCCCTAGTACTCAAAGCTATCCCTACACCGGCTAATCCTCGTGAACTAGCTGTGGCATCGCCTGACACCCTCAAGATGAATCTTGCAGATTCATCCTGTTGGCCAGGTGGGGTTAGGTGAATAACCACACTTGGGTCTTGTATGCGTGTTTCTGAAACACAACATACATCAATTGCTCGGGACGCCAGAGGCTTGGCTAGTGATGCTTGTTGTCGTATTTGGCAAAGTGTCCTACCATTAAATGCTCCTTTATGAATTTTATTTTTGATTACAGCTTGATTCCACACTGTATTTTTGGTACAAGTATGGGACTTTCAGCATGAATATCGGTAGCCCAAATTTTGCAGGCCGACCATAGATATCAGGTGTGCGTTGGCAGGGGATCGAACCCTGGACCATGTGCATAGTCGGCGAGAGTCCTAACCACTGTGCCACCGACGCACAGTGGCTTTAGGAGACTATTGGTGGCGGTGTTTTGGCTTCCGTCGTTTTTAGTGGACACAGAGTGAAGAGGAAGTGAAGAGCCATCAAGTAGAGGAGTTGCATCAGTGGGAGGAAGGCAAGATAATAGGGATAAAGATGAAGACAAAGATGAGTGAGGATTACAGAGGTTTCGTATGCATTTCGGATTGTGAGGGGGATTGTTACTTCCCAGCTGCCCACACCGTGGAAAATGCTTGTTGGTATATATATGATAGCTGTTTGTGAACATTGATTATTTGCTTTGCGAATATAAATGCTTCTGTTAATCGGTCTACTTACTGACAGTGAATACTTCCCAGTTGTGACAGAGTAATAATCTGAATTGGGTCGGGTTCCAATAGCTTTTAATGGTCTACGAGCTCGTCTCGCAACCATTAATGTCCTGGCTTCGAATGTCAATTGTTGGGTGCGTATGAATGAAGAGTCTCAAACTGGTACGAAACAGCTGTTCATTACTGTCAGGTCTTTCAATAGTTCTGTAACTGATGTCAACTCGTGATCAGTCCTGTACTCGATATAATACAATAATGTAATTAATAGTGTTCTCTGGGCTGGTTGGTTTAGTTGCGGAGCTTTCGTCGTCTTTCTGGACGACATCTTCAGCGCAGTATTTAGGATAAAGTGAAATGATTTAAATTTCTTCATAAGTGTTATAATTGCGTCTCCCGGTAACCATCTTTACATATGTATTGACCGTTTTCTATTGACTTGGATTTTAAACGTTCTGGTCACCTGATTTACTTTTTATTAGTTGGTATACTTCGTCTATATTAACGTGTTTGTTAATTGCATACTCGTTTGAGTACCAGGCTTCTAGAAATTCCCTGGCACATTTGGTGTTTCCTCTGTCTAAGATGCCAATCAAATCGATGTCCATAATTGTCTGTATGCATTGATACTAAAGAACATATATCGTGTCTTTTCACTGCTGATTTGTGTTCTTGGATTCTTATTCGAAGGGGATGCCCACTTTGGCCAATGTAATGTTTGTTACAGTTCATACAATTTATTTTGTAAATGGTGTTAATTTTATCTCCTTTTTCTTTTGGATCTTTTGGTTTGCATAAGATCGAATTAAGCGATTCGGCTGGTTTGTGTGCTACATCTATATCAAACGGTTTCATTATTCTAGCCGTTATTTCAGATGTATGGTAGGATGAATTTCTTTTTGGTCTTTAGTGATGGTTCTTTGTTGGTGCTTTGATTCGACTTTAAAGTCGAAACACCAAATGTGCCAGGGAATTCCTAGAAGCCTGGTACTCAAACGAGTATGCAATTAACAAACACGTTAATATAGACGAAGTATACCAACTAATAAAAAGTAAATCAGGTGACCAGAACGTTTAAAATCCAAGTCAATAGAAAACGGTCAATACATATGTAAAGATGGTTACCGGGAGACGCAATTATAACACTTATGAAGAAATTTAAATCATTTCACTTTATCCTAAATACTGCGCTGAAGATGTCGTCCAGAAAGACGACGAAAGCTCCGCAACTAAACCAACCAGCTCAGAGAACACTATTGCGGAATTGCAAATCATCCACCTGAGTTACAAATCTTTTCTATTAATACAATAATGTATTATTTACTATCATGGAAAGATGCAAATAGTGGGTAATATGTGGTAGGACTATGCTAAAAACTTTGTGATCCATTATATATATGAAAACTATGGTATAAAATTGTAAACATTCAAATGTTTCTGCACGCAGGATCTATCAAATAGTGTACTGTATTATTAAATGTGAGTTATTTGCAGTCAATAAAGTAACACTAAAAATGTGGGTTGTGTATTACTTGCCGTAAACTCATTAGTGTTAATCAGTTAAAAATAGTTAAGAAGTTCCAGGGCTTTTCACGTTTAAATTTAAAGGGATGCTGTTTTTCACCCTCAAAATAATTTTTATTGATGCCTACTAATTTAGAGGTTTTCTTTTTTGTTTTTTTTGTGTGTGGAATCTTTCAGATGAACAATCTGCAATTTACTTGCCATGTCTGCAATGTGCGGTGTGATACTGAAAGTGTTCTTAGATTACATGAACAAGGGAAAAAGCATCGTTCAAAATGCCTTAATTTCCAAAAAAATAACTCATCCGGTCATATTAACCAACCATTGAAAGTCTCACTACCGGTACTTAACACACCTGAATCAACGTCATCTAAAGATCTATCTTGGGAAATGCGTAAACCTTCTCCTAGAATAGTGACAAATTCAACTTCTGTACCTCAATCACTTGTAGACATGCCTTCTGTTGATTCCAACACAAAATTAAATGAAGATATAAAGCCGAAATTTTTGAATCCTGATGGCAGTTTCTCTTGTAATTCGTGTGATGCAAGAATGAATTCTTGGGAGCAATTAGCAGCTCATCTTCGTGGACGTAAACACCAAATTAAATCAAATATCAACATAAGAGACCTCAAACATTTGGAATCTATAACCGTATGTGGTATACTACTTTAAAAAAATTTTTATATACCTTCCTTATATGTTATGCTGACACTATTAAACAATGGGCACTGTTATGCTAACAATGTCAACTGTCCTAATGGTTAATGGTTAAGTAGAGGTATACGAACTCGCTTTGTAACCGGAGAATGTTCTAGGTGCAAACTCCGGTGATCAATGTATGCGTACCGCTGGAGAGTCCTTAACTAGGACGAAACAGCTGTCCAGTATTCCCTGGTAGTTGTCCAGTAGTTAGTTCTCTAACCGATGTCATCACGTAATCTCCAGGTGGATGATTTTGATGTTGTTGTGTTCTCTTAGCTGGATAGTTAATTTGCAAAGCTTTCATCGCCCTACCAGACGATATCTTCAGCGCCCATGCTTCAGTTTGAAGTGAAGTGAGCTTTTAGATTTCTCCACGAGTTTATTAATCATCTCTCCTGGTCGATGACCTTGGACGTGATTGATTGTTTTTGTGTGTTTTCACACCTTCTAGGTTACTTGTATTGGAACCGACTGTTTCTTTGACTTGAACTTCGACCCTTTGTGTGTGAGATTTTTTTCTTATCGGTTGATAAATTTTGTCTATCTCGATGTGTCTATTGATTGATGATTCACTGGAATACTAAACTTCTAAAAATTCTCTAGCATTCTTAGTGTTTCCTCTGTCTAATATATGAACGTTGTCCCAGTCGAATTGATGTCCGTGGTTGTCTGTATGAAGTGATATGAGGGAGTGGATGTCATGTCTTTTGACGGCTAGCTTATGTTCGTTGATACGAAGACGAAGGGGACGTCCACTTTGGCCAATGTAATGTTTTTCGCAGTTGTTAGACTTTATTTTTTAGATGGTGTTGGTTTTATCTTCTTGCGCTGTTGAGTCTTTTGTTTGACATAGAACTGAGTGAAGTGATTTTGTTGGTTTGTGTGCGATGTCAATTCTTAAAGGTTTAAAGAGTCTTGCAGTGATTTCTGAGATGTTTTTTTGTATATGGTAGGGAGATTTTATTTGTGCTTTCCTTGGGGGCTTTTAGTTTGATAGGTTGGCTTGGGGGTATATGTCTTCTGATGAAGTTTCGTGGATATCCATTCTTTCGGAAGACGTCCATGAGATATCTTTCTTCAATTTTCCTTGAGGTGGGAGTGCTGTTCCTCTTGAATAGTGTTTGTATGCAATACCTTTTGTGTGTTTTTGGATTGTTGCTGTTGTAATTTAGTATTTGGTCTGCATATGAGTCTCTTTGAGTCTTCTGCTGACCCTCGCCAACGATACCCTGTGGTTATGCGGTCTAGCTGAGTCCAGCGTTGATTTAGTGATGGAGGTCACCAGGTTATGTATATGTGCAGTGTCCCTAGAGTTAGTGCTGACTAGGAAAAGATGATTATCTGAACAGAACTGTAGAAGACGATCACCGTTGTCGGTTCGTCGCCGGGGAACTCCATGCGTACCACCTACATACTTGTCAGTCTGACACAACTTCCCTACTTGGGCATTGAAGTTGCCTGCTAAAACAACTATATCTGAGCATTTTGCTTTTTGCATCAAATTAGACAGTTTCAGGTAGAAGTGATTTTTCCGCCCTACCACTCAGTGCTATCCCTACACCTGCGAATCCGCGCGAGCTATCTGAGAGGTCTCCTGAAACCCTTAAAGTGAATTTTTCAGATTCACCTTGTTCGTCGGATGAGGTTAAGTGAATGACCACACTCGGGTCTTGTATGCGTGTCTCCGAAACACAGCATACATCCATGGCTCGAGATGCCAGAGTTCTTGCTAGTGATGCTGTTGTCCGACTTGGCAGAGGGTCCTGACGTTAAATGCTCCTATATGAAGTTGGCGACGTGGCTTTAAGAGACTGTCAGGGTGTTACTATGGCTCTCACCGTTGTTTATGGTCACAGTGTGAAGTAAAGATGACTCACTAGCCTGTCGAATAGTATTAGCTGTAGTAGAGGTGCAAGATGAGGAAGGTGATGTGAGTAAAGGAGAGTGGTGCTCAGGAAGGCTTCGTGTGCTTTTGGAAGTGTGTGGACGGTTGTTACTTCCCAGTTGCTCACACTATGGAAGTTTATTGATTCTTCGGGTACCTGAAACAGAAAGTGTTGCGTGACCACAGAACTCAGGGGACAACTGCTTGAGGCCGGTCACACACGGCCTGTGTCAACTGGTTTCTGGGATTGGGTCCGTATTAGTAAACTTACCGCCGGTTACGGACCACCATATCATCATCCCATGTGAATCCTTATTTCCTCGTTCTATCTAAATAAAGCATTTATCAATGTGGTCACGATGCTTTTACCCACTTGTAAAACATTTTTATCCTTTTAGACACCACCAGATGGCGGTGATGCAAAAAGTATTTTCTTTCGATGTGAAGATTGTGAAGCTATAGTATTCAGTTCAGCGATGCGAGAACATTTAGCCTCCGAAGAGCATAAATTGGAAACTGCCAAGATCCATCGAAGCTCAGTATTAGCACATCCCAGTAGTAATGGTAATATTGATCATGTCCTTCCACTACGGGAATATGGTCGATCGTGTAAAGAAGTTTTGCGTCCTGTATGGCCTTCAGTGAAATTTACTGATGCAGAGGTAAGCTAATACCAACTAATTATGCCTGTTTAATACAGAAAATTCATCTAGTCATTTATTATTATTGTCATTATTAGTATATATTGTTCCCTTGGGATCCGAGTGGAACATGTAGGACTCCAACAACACATCTCCATTTTTCCCTTTTTCTCTGCGATCTTCTTCAGCGGATCTCATGGTCGCCCATAGTCTGTCATATCCTCCATGTAACTCGTCTTTTCTCACTCGGGTTCCACTTGAGGGATAACCGTGGAGTCTGTTTGTTTTCGACATAGAAGCCCCGTTTTCCGCTAGGAACTGAAGGTGAATTAATAATAGTTTATTCTGGGTAAGTATTAGGAGTAAAAAAAAGCAATACTGTGATATTCATAACTCAGAGTCTATATCGATAGTGTGGTTATTTCAGACTTGTTTGCGTCATAGTGATTATATACACATTATGGTAGCCAACGTTCAACAAAATAGCATCCCAAAGAATGCGAACGCACGAGTGACCTTCAGTCGACCAATCATAGAAATGAGGAATTTTTGCATGAAAAATGATGTATCTTTACAAGAAAATGCATGAAAACACATTAAATAGGGGGTATTTTTCTCTGACATCACTTCAACAACACGTCCATAGAACTTCGCACCGAAGTGCACCAGTTCGAGTTGCCACGTTCCAAATAGCACACAAGATAGACAAGAAGATGAGTGAAGAGAATTAATAGAGTTTGACAAATATAAGAGTGAAACAGAATGGGTAATGGTAAAGGAATATGAAAGATTACAGAGACTGAATACATCTGCGCTGGCCATTGACAACGATTTTGAGCCATGTCACCTATTGTCTCCAGCCATTGATAGAGTCCCGAGGCCCCAACCGGAAGTCTGCATCTCCCTACCTGACTCAGTTTAACTGTCAAGGATTTCATGGATTGATGCCATGTTTTTGTTGGCCACCATTCTTTTCCAACCTGAACCTATATCAGCTAGCAAAGCCGTCGGGGGAGGCGGTGGTTAGGCATGCGCACACGTGACCTAGCCATCTTAGTCTATGTAACTTTATAACCTCGTCGATTGATTTTCCCAGTTATAATGTGGAGTATCAGTTGCAAAGTTAGACTAGTTTCTGTACAATGTATTATTCATCGAGGTGACTGAAGATGAGCTGTTTTTGTGCATCGTTTATCTCTCTTGTTTTATAAAGCAGTCCTCAGTTGAATTACTATAGCTTCCAGTAAGAGGATCGACGACTATCCATTCACCAGGAAAATTTGGATAATAAAACAAATTAAAATAAATGAAATCAGCTCTAAATCTAACCCTAACCTTAATTAATCCCAACACTAATTACAACCCTTATCCTAGGCCTAAGCGCAACCGTAATCCTAATTATGACCCTAATCCTAACCCTGGCGAGCTATAAACACATTGTCGAAACAGTGCTTAAAAATGTGATCTGGGTGAAACTTGCTCCTTAGTTGGTGAATATCATTGATATTTCAGCCAACGAATAGCATGCGTTCAAGGTCATTTTGGGGTTGGAGCACTTTGGGACGCTATCGTTGAACTTCGCCTTATGGTATTAAACAATCTTATTATATATATATATATATATATATTTTTCAAGTATTGGTTTTTGTAGGGATTTTGTTTGATTGCATGGAGGATTTAATCATGAGCTGACATCAGTTAGAGAACCACTGGAAAACCTGGGAGTACTGGACAGCCGTTTCGTCCTAGTTTGGGTCTCCTCAGCAGTACGCACCCACCGGGATTCGAACCCAGGACCTTCTGGTTACAAGGCGAGCTCGTAGACCATTGAGCCACTGGGACCCGATCCAATGGTCCTTGAATTCTAACTTCTACCAGTTCACGACATAGCGCGACCACTTCGCAATGTCTTCTTCGATGAGTTACTGCCTCATCTTCGACCTGCTGTACCCTACTGGTCACGGCTTCCCACTAGAACCCCAGGTTAACTGCCTGAATAGGGCCAGTCACTAGTGAGCATCAGATGAATTTTCAAGTATTGGTTTTTGTAGGGATTTTGTTTGATTGCATGGAGGATTTAATCATGACCATTGGATCGGGTCCCAGTGGCTCAATGGTCTACGAGCTCGCCTTGTAACCAGAAGGTCCTGGGTTCGAATCCCGGTGGGTGCGTACTGCTGAGGAGTCCCCAACTAAGACGAAACAGCTGTCTAGTACTCCCAGGTTTTCCAGTGGTTCTCTAACTGATGTCAGCTCATGATTAAATATATATATATATATACTCAATTCCTTATGTAAATTTACATATAAAAGCTATATATATTATCCTCACATTATCATCATCTTCAGCGCTGAAGATGTCTAGCAGGACGGCGAAAGCTATGCAGTTAAACCAGCTAGTTCAGAGAACACAACTAAATATGAAAATCATTCACCTAAGCTGCAAATATTCTCCATTGTAGGTAAATAGTAATTATTAGTTTTATCTTTTATTAAATTGTTAGGCTGCACTTTTAACGGAAGCAGCGAAAAATGATGATGATTGTATTTTACCCTTGTTGTCACCTGATGGTCGATCACGTGTTGGTCTACATTTAGCCGATGGTCTGTTGACAGTTAATCGAAATTTTCCTGGGTCCTGTGTTTCTGTTAATCCGTTGCAACCAAATACTACTACTACTACTGATATTACATGCGTGCTATGGATTGCACCCGAGAAACCAATGACGTCACACCGTACTCATTCTACGTTTACATTTCAGTGAGTATAACATCATTTGACTGGTTATATATATATATATATATATATATATATATTTGTATACTTTTTATTTTACAAACATTCTCGTATATAATATACCTTCTGCAATTATATTTGTAATCTACGAATGTTTGGCATGCGATTCGCTCCCGCCAAATGTAAGAGGATGGGGTTACATGACTGGACTACAGCGACGCCTAGTTTAAAAATAGGAAGTGAAGTGGTAGAGCATGTGACCGCTTCACTTATTTGGGAAGTACCATCAGCCAGTGCTAACGGGTTGATCTCTGAAAAAATCTCAGCACGAATACAGGGGGCTCGTTTCGCATTTGTTAGTTTACGCCGACTCTGGCGTAGACGAGATGTTCGACTATCGACCAAAGGGCGTGCTTACTGCTCATCAGTCCGCTTCGTCCTCCTTCATGGCCGTGAGTAAAACATGGCCATTGAGAGTGGAAGACATGAAAAGATTAGCTGTCTTCGATCATAGGTGCCTCAGCTCTATCTCCCCTGTGAAGTGGCATAATAAGGTGAGCAATATTGAGGATAGGCGTCGAGTTCTAGGTAAACAGGGGAAATCAATCGACGAGGTTGTGAAGTTACAAAGACTGAGATAGTTAGGACATGTGTTACGTATGCATTGCTAGTCATCAACTTCCTCGACCGACGGGCAATGTTGGCTGACATAGGGTCGAGATGGAAAAGAGCTAGCGGAGGTCAAACAAAAACTTGGCGCCAGTCAATCAAATCTACAATAGTTAGTTTAAGCCACGTAGGTAGGTGTAGACTTCCTAACTGGTTTGGGTCCTCGGGACGGTGAAAACAATTGGTGATATGGCTCAAAATCGTTGTCAATGGCTAGCGGAGATGCATCCACTCCTTGTGACCTATGATTTCCAATGAAACTGTTTTGTTCTTCGTTATTACCCCTCCTTTGTCTCACACCTCTGTTTACTGTCTCTATTATGCTTTTCTTGTACTTTCTTCTCTTGCTTCGTGTGCTCTACATGGAGTGTGGCGACTTGAACTTCCGCACATATATGCAAAGTTCTATGTCGAAAACAGACAGACAGTTATATTTAATCTGGTTTGTACTCATCTTTAAAAAAATTTTTTCACCTGTTATTATTATTCCGCTGGATTCCGCGTGGAACACACACGGCTTCAGCAACGCATCTGCACTTTGTTCTATTTTCTGCTGTCCTCTTTATCTGGATCCACGGTCATCTATAGTCTCTCATCTCCTCCGCCTCTCACAATCCCCGTCATATCAATCTCGGCCACCAAACTCATCGTTTGCGCGCGATATCACTCGACGGTCTCCTCAACGTGTGTCCGGTCCATCTCCATTTTCTTCGGAGTATTTGTTGTTCAATAAGTTCCTGGATAACTAACTCGTTCCAAGAGTTCTTGCTGCTAATTTTTCCTGGCCTGCCCTTGGTCTTCAACATAGAGCGAAGGTAGTTGTGAATAAAAGTCTTCAGTGGCCTTCAGGAAATGTTTTTCGTGACGTTCCAAGTCTCAGACTCATATATTCTAGGGAATGACTGACTGACATAACATTTGCGTTGAAAATCGTAATTTTGTTGTGTATGCTGAGGAGTGAAGAAGGTTGTCAAACTGATTTCAGAGTGATGAGAGTCTGTCTCATCTTTCCCATCCTGGTTTTGACATTCTCATTCGTAGTGTCGCCTTTAGTTGAAAGGCTGGCTCTCAGATAAGTGAAGAATGTGACCTCTTTTGAACTCCTCTGGTCGACAGTGATTGATTGATTGATTGGTTGGATATCTTCATCACCTCCGTCTTCTTTATGTTAACATGGGTAGTCCTGTCTTCTGTGACTGCTTCTTCAGCCAGTTTGTTGGTTTTCGCCTGCCTACAAATCTTCGAGTTTGTGTGACATTAGACATATATCATCGGCGCTTGGAATCCAGATATTCTAGAGTCTCCTCATAGATAATCCAGCGTATTCCTGTCTTCTTACTCCTTGTGGACAGTGATGCATAATCCAGTCCACCACAATTAAGAATATTATCTGTGGTGATAATAGACAGCAAGCTTGTCTTACTCTTGCCATGTTCATTTCGAACGCCTCACTGTGTTTTCTGTTGTGGATCACCTGACCACATTGTGACATTGTCATATAGCCAGTCAACCAGCTGTTGAATTAGTGTGATAAAGACTTGGGTACTGCACGCCATAGTGTTGAAGTAGTTTCCAGATTACTTCTCGATCAATGGTGCAATGTTGAAGGCCTTGAAGTCGGTGAAGGAAGTTGAGTTAGAGTGAGGTTTGACTGCCATTCTATGCTTTGTTCGACAATGTTGGTTAGATTCGCACTTTGATGAGCACATGACTTGCCTTTCCTGAATCTAACCAGCTTGTTCTGGTGGGTGGGTGGGGGGCCGGTGGGGTTCTGTGTCCAGTGCATCTTTTATTCTCTGCAGGATTTCATGTCTTAGCATTTTACTTGGCGTGAACAAAAACATCATTCCATGTGAGTGAGTCATTGTGGAGGCCTAGGTCGCCCTTCTTCGGTAGTTTGACCAGGTAGCCTTTCTTCCAAACAGTAGGCACGTTTCCTTCCTCATTTGTTGATTTGTAGAAATTTTATCGGTTTCTAGTTAGATTTCATTGTTGTTTTTCGTTCCTCTAGACTTTTGGTTGAATATTCTTCTCAATGAACCTTGGGTGGATATCCACTCTGGATGAAAGTTTCTTTCAGAAGATCCAGTTCTGTCTGCCGATTAAACTAAAAGTAGTTGACGTTTGTATTGAAAATCTGAATTTTGTTGTTGATGCTGAGGGACGAAGATTTTCAGATTGGTTTCAGGTTGATGAATGTGTTTCTCGCCTTCCCGATTCTCGATTTGAAATCCCCGTCCGTTCCTCCTCCTGTAGTTGAGACAATGCTCCCTAGATAAGGCAATGAAGTAACCTCTTTCAAATCCCTCCCGTTGATGGTGATTGACGCTGGATGTTATTGTTGGTTGGTTATTTTCATAACCTCCGTGTTGTCTATGTTCACTTGGAGTCCTGTCTTCACTGTTTGCTTCTTCGACCAGTTTGTCGGTTTTCTCTTGTAAGTCTTCGATTTTGTGTGACATCAAACACAAATCATCCACGCGCGAAATCCAGGTCTTCTAGGTTCTTGATGTCGGTCCAGGATATCCCTGTCCCGTTCCTCGTTTCCCACTGTCTGACGCATAATCCAGTCCATCATAATTAGAAATATCAGTAGTGATAATAAGCACCCCTGTCTGACTCCTTTTCTTTCCCAGACGCAGTCCTTTATTTATTCCCTACCTATTTTGTTTACATGTTTTATTATTATTATTGCTAATATTGTGTAGTGCACCAGATTTTGTTTTTGATGTTGTGTTCTCTGAGCTGGATAGTTAATTTGCGAAGCTTTCATCGCCTTAGTATATGACATCTTCAGCGCATACTTCAATTTGAATTGTAGTGAGCTTTTAGACTTCTCCACGAGCTTATTAATCATCCCTTTTGGTCGGTGACCTTGGACGTGATTGGTTGTTTTCTTTTTAAATTCTCGAGCTTGGCATTCTAGTGAATCATCAATCAATAGACACATCGAGATAGACAAAATTTATCAACCGATAAGAAGAAAGCCTCACACATAAGGGTCAAAATTCAAGTCAAGGAAACAATCAATTCCAATACAAGTATCCTAGATGGTGTGAAAACACACAAAAACAATCAATCACGTCCAAGGTCACTGACCTGATTAATAAACTCGTGGAGAAATCTAAAAGCTCACTTCACTTCAAATTGAAGCATGGGCACTGAAGATGTCGTCTAGTAGGGCGATGAAAGCTTTGCAAATTAACTATCCAGCTAAGAGAACACAACAACATCAAAATCATCCACCTGAGCTACACATCTTCTCTATCATCATACCAGGTTTTGTGTTTTAAAATAAGTAAAATTAAACCTTTTTTTTTCATATGCCTTGTAGACCGGGTGGTGAGACAAGTTCAAATGGGCGTCCATTGATTTTTGCATATCCACCTTTCGATCCGTCAGTCCTATCAGGAGTTGATATCGTGAGAACAGATTCTGGCAAGTTTTATTTTGTCTCTTTTAATGGTATTGTATTCAGGTAGAGTATCGATCGGTTTATGGTCAGACTTGTTATTTTTGCTCTCTAGAGTTAAGTGCCACGAACTCAGCTAACTAAACCGATCAGTAATCCGGTTTTGTTTATCGTGAGTATAGAGTCTTTACAAAAGATTTTATTGTTTTATCAACTGAAAGGTTTCAACACACACACACATATACTTTCTACTCATAATCTTCAACCACTACTTGTTTTATTTCATATATATATATATAAGTAGTTAGTTGGAGGATATTTTAGTATGTTTATATTGGTTGGGAGACTTCAGAATGAGCTGACATCAGTTAGAGCACCATCGGAAAACAACCTGGAAGTACTGGACGACTGTTTAGTCAGCCTAGTTTGGAAGTTTTCGAAGTACGCACCGACCGGCGGAGTTCGAATCTAGGACCTTCTCATTACAAGGTGAGTTCGTAGAACGTTGTTCGTGGCAATCTGAGATTTCTCCTTGTTGATGCGTAGACCGAATTCTTCGACGCGTCTTAGGACCGTCTCTGCATGCTCTAAGTGGTCAGTCTCGCTCGTACTGTATATCACTAGATCATCTCCATAAACTTCGACGTTCCTCAAATTCTTCAGCAGCGACGTCATTAATCGTCTAAACGTAAACGGAGCACCTGCCAATCCAAAAGGCATGCGTTTAAACCGATACTGTTTTTGTCCCACAAAGAACGCCGTCTTATCTCTATCTCTTCGTTCTATTGGCAGTTGCCAGTACCCCGATCGCAGATCTAAGACTGTGAACAGCTTCGCACTTTGTAAGTGATCCAGAGTTTATGCTATTGTTGGCATCGCGCACGGTCTCAGTTCTGTTATACTGTTCAATTGTCGGAAATCAACACAAAATCTGTATTTCCCGTTGCTTTTCTTCACCAATAGCACTGGAGAACTATATGGACTATCGGCTTCTTGATTAATATCATCCCTCAACATCTCTTCAACCTGTCTTGCAACCTCGCTTTCTAAGTGACACGGGACTCTTCGAGTAACGAATGGTCTCACCTTCCCGCTTGTCACTGGAATTTCGTGTCTCACTTTATCACAGTAATCGTACGGATCTCCCTCTCCAGTGAAAAGATGGTCGTATTTGCAAAGTAACTTTGCTACACTGAGGACTTCCGACACTGCAATCCCTGCTGCCTCACTATTCTCGTGCACGCTGAAACAACCATACTTTGTAACAACAACCCTTTTCTTCATATTAATCACTGCATCCACTTCTCGCAAAAAGTCTGTCCCAAGGATTGTTTAGCGCAATTCAGGTACGACTAGGAATGGGAACATCACACTATCCTTTCCAATTCTAACTCTGCAGTTCGACACTCCCTGATTCTTAATACGTGACCCCCCACTGTCTGTACTGTCAACGATTACGGTCTTATATTCTCACATAGGCTCCTCTCTACGAGTGAGACTGCTGCTCCCGTATCAATTAGCACACCAATTCGCGGTCATTTACACATAACTTCGAATATATCGCCCCCTTCTCCGCTGTCCCTATTACCTCAAGTCCCGGAACACAGGAAAAAGACATGGTATATCTTTAAAAAAGGTCTTCTTCGTGCGGGCGTAATCGTTGGTTTTTCTCGATGTATCCATTTCTGAAGCTTGCTAACGCGTGCACCAGGAAGATCCAGCCGACTTCAGTCCAAACTACTTGACGGGGGAACGAGTGTGGTGAGAGCAGACTGCTAGTCAATTGGTAGACAGTATTTTACGTCAATGTTTATCTCGCCAATATTGGTCGTGAGAAAATATGAACAAGACTGATTCAATAACCAATCACAGTAGACTTTATGTAGGCTGATACAGTTGATATATAGATGACCTGACATTCAAGAAACAGCCACAAAGAAGTGTAAGGTCAACTTTCTGTGAGAAAGAACCAATCATAAGACTGTGTTTGTCTGCTTGAATAAGCTATAATAATGTACATGAAGTATATATAAATACGTGTTGATTTCCTTAATAAAGGATCTGTGGCCTGACTCTTGGCTTGTGGTGTTACAATACTATTACGTCTGTTATTTGGTTTAGTGATGTCCATTTTTGTTTTGACCTACAATATGTCCGTTTGACTTGACCTTAATTTATTTTCTCACCTATTAACTCTCTATTAATTTCATATATATTCCTATGACAAGTCGTGTGTGTGATCAGATTGTTCCCAATGTTTTGTGCAAATACACATTACACGATTCAGAAAAATGACATCATCTTATTGCCTCATCTTAATTCGTAAAGAGAACTGATTGTTTTAAATATAATAAAAATAAGAACATCTTTATTCTGGACAGTATTTATAAAATGTACAGAATTTTCAGAGGAGTTTGTTGCATGGTACTTTACCTTCGTACGACGTCTTCAAGTCAAATATTAATTGACAGTATATCCTGTGTATGTGACCCAATGCTCGCTGAGCTGACGCGCAAACCATTCCATGTTGATGATGATGGTGTATCTGCTTTATCTCTGCTTCAAGAAATCCACGACATCGTTTTAGTTGAGAGGCAATTGTAAGATATTCAGAAGCGCATTTTGAGGCTGAAGGATATAATTGAAGAACAGTTATCTCATGTTGTATTGGAACACGTTGCCACCCCACAATCAGGCCAATCCTCAAATATAGTAAGAAGTGGCGAATCAGTCAGGAGCTTGTGAACACTTTAAATAAATACACACAAGACTATATGATATATCTATTAGAGGTCATGTCCTAATCGATTAAAACAAAAACACAAGGATAGAAAATATATAGCCAATAGAGAGATGAAAGTTTTTGGTAGCCCAAGTTTTAAGTAGACCGCCTACCTTGCTTCCGTACATATCTTTCTTGCTGTGCTCGTAAGACAACAATTCTTTTATATTTAATGGGCACGTATCTAGGATAGTGTGCGTATTGTCCTAAATTTTAACACCTATCTTATCCTCCCTTAGTCTCATCACATCTTCATTAAAACGTATATTCTTTACTTCCCATACAATCTAGCTTAACGTAATCGGTTCATTTGTTTTTACTAGCCTTTGTCGACTACTACTACCTCAACATTTGTTTGTTTAACTATGCTTGCTTTTTTTGTTTTGTTATCACAGATAGCCTCATTTTGTCATCCTTATGATTGATAGAACCATTATGATTATTATCATTACTATTATTAAGACTAATTGCCCAATTGATATGCACAATCTTACACCGTGATTTGAGTTTTTATTTGTAAAATTATTCATATTAGATCTGATAATGAGATCTAATTTGAAAGCACAATATTGTTCACTAAATTGTGTTGTTCTAAAGTGTGAATTGACAAAAGGATTACACATACTAATGTTTTTATAGTCAATAGAATGTAATTTTCATTGAGGCGGGGGTGTGAGGGAGTGTGAGTTATATTCAGTGGTGTGTAACCAATTACCACAAAATACATACAAATACATATATTAAAAATTGGGGACACTGAATGATGAACGTCATATTTGACAATATTAAACACTGAACTATCACTCACTCCATATTATTATACATGTACCCCTACTACGGACAGTTCCCGATATAATTTTCACACGCCATTAATGGCTATTTGTATTCTTCTAATAGTCATGGTTCTATAACTGTTATATTATTATGGAGTCGTCACCAATATGTTTTTATGGTGTGACCGAGTGTAAATATGCGCTAATGATATATATAACGGACGATAACGTACAGACTGGTATTGCTTAGTTGTTAATTTGTCCTGACGCGAAGATGAAAATCAGATGACCCCTACGTTCATGAATGGATACGTGTATTTTCCAACAAGGAAAGTTAACTGTCACACAAGAGTTTGAGTGGAAAAGTACTAAAGTGTACGAAGTGTGCAATACAGTACTGTACAATAAAACAGTATGTACGATATAACTAACACATATGAACCGATAAGACAGATAGTAGTTTTTTTTCTACCACTGGATTCTGATTGGTTGTTATGTCATGTGATAAAGGTCATACATTGTTTATTTAGTCAATGGACATAAAAGATATCTTGTGGGTTATAATAGAACAACGATCAATATACATATAGCAGAATATATCAGACTGGGAAAACAAAGCAGACATCATGTGACTACATATCATGTAGAGCCTGAAGAGGGAAGAATTTATCGAAACCACAATTGTTCGCTCCATATCATCTTGTTTTGAGTGTTGTTTCTTTTCAAGTTGAGAACTATTTTATCTACTGCATCAATCGAATTTCATATTCAAGTGTAGTACGCAGTTATGTCCTCATTAGGGATCGAAAAGTCCCGAACAAGGAGGAGACAGTTTTGTATGATGAAATTAGCTGAAGTTCTAGTGGCTTGTCGTGATCATTAATGTCCACCCAATCGGACTTGAGGACAGATTAGTCACCGATAACGTTGTCTGGCGGTCGCGGTCAATCGCAAATTGACTGAAGCTAGAATTCATGGGCAGGTCACTGGATTCCATCCCGATGGTTGAATTTTGCAAACTTGTTCGCTTGGTAACCTGAAGGTTATTGGGTTGGATGCATACTGGTGTGGAGCAATGGGTGCATACTGACTGGGAGTGCTGAAGAGTCTTGAAAAAGGACAAAACAGAGCTGCCCAGTACTCCTCCTTCTCCTTGGGGTTTTAAAGGATTCTCTAATATATGCTGCAAAGTCTATTCACATTCAAATAAAAATTTACATTTCATTCGCATAAATTTATATTCTTTACCATTTTTCTATTTCTTAGATGGCTTTAAGACACATTTGGCCTGGTTGCTTATGCAACAGAAATTTTTATGTGCTATTATTATCGAGGATGTGAAAGCTATATATAGAGATGAAGAGTTTTGTCAATTGCTCAAATGCTATCTAAAAGTCTATTCTCATCACAATAATCGTGGTCGAGTAAGTTTTTAAAGAACTGTTATTGAACTCCTTTTATTATTATTATTATTATTACTGGCCAAGATAAACTTAAAGCGCCACTGAGTGTGACTGACTACCAGTGGAGTGCGACCGCACCAGTGACCTTGAAACGCTGACTAAGTTAGTGAAACCTGGCAAATAACATTGTCATCATCAAAAGAAAATAGGATTTAAGTGTTGGTTTGTAGAGATTTGATTGGTTTCAGGATTTCATCATGAGCTGACATTAGTTAGAGAACCATTGGAGAAACTGGGAGTACTGGACAGTTGTTTCGTCCTAGTTTGGGACTCTTCATAAGTACGCGCCCACCGGGATTCGAACCCAGGACCTTCCGGTTACGAGGCGGGCTCGTATACCATTAAGCCACTGGTACCCAATCCAATGGTCCTTCAATTCTAACTTCTGCCCATTCCCGACATAGTTGGTTTCTGTCTATGGGAAAACAAAGAGACGGGCGCACCTCCAATTTTCTAAACATGTGCCGAGAACTCTACGTCTCAAGGGAACAAACGCTTTCAATAGTGGCGTTACTGGGCATCTCCTCCATACGAATCATAAGGTGAAAGTCGCAAAATCCTTTAAAATCATTAATAGACAAAGCAGCTCAATTCTCCTTAAGTATGCTGAACCAAAACCTGATTTACGCGTTCAGAAAGAAGTAGTTATCAGTCCTTCCTTACCCACCTGATAACTGAATGTCATTCATTATTATGCTTTTCATCTGATTACGTAATCTTCGGCTTTACACCTCCTGTCGTTATTACGTAACTTGAGACCTAGAGTTCTCGGTACATGTTTAGAAAATTAGAAACTTAGCCGCAGCATGTGTTCTGGCCTTTAAGGTATTCGACCTTCTGTGAACTGTTCTTGCAATATGCTCATCTTTAAAATCGAAATGAATGAAGACAGGCTTTTTTTCCCACTGCGATTTGCTGTATTATTATTTGTTTGTGTGTGTGTGTACATGAGGTTTGTCAAATTTAGATAATTGATCAGGTAATACAAGAATGATCTAATACAGAAACAAGGTTAGTTAGACAGCAACTAAAGTAAGATTGAGTTAGTAAGTTAGATGACGTGAGCCTTCAGTTCTGCAGTTTGAAGAGGTCTGATTCGTACATCTTTAGGAAGACTACTTCTTACTCTGTAGACGACTTTGAAGTTTGTTTGGGGTGCAGCTTGGTGTCCAGATTCTATCAGAGGTTCTAAGATAAGAGCTGCGGGGACATCGTTTTTCTCCTTTGTAAAACTATGTTGGTAAGTGTTCGGTGATACGCTTGGAAAGCGAACGCTGGGTACGGCCGACATACCTGGCTCCACACAAGTAAGTGAATTGATAAATGCACATTGATGAGGCCAGAAGTGGTAGCTTATCCTTCACGTTCACATGAATCATAGGTTTTGTGGGGAAAGTTAGTCGTAGTTCAGCTGCGAAGAAGGTCTTCTTGAGTGAGCTCGACAGTCGACCTTTTAGTGTTTCCGCAGATATATCTCCATTGCTTATTTTTAATTCGCGAAAAATACCCATTAAGACATTGAAATAAGAACAAATTAGTTCAGCGAAGAGTCTCTTTTCGGCGAATTCATTCTCTTAGCTGTACAGTCGCAAATATACACAATTAATTTTGTGTGTGTGTGTGTACATAAGGTTTGTCAAAATCAAAATAACAGTTAGTGTGGGTTGTTGATTACATCATCAAAATAATAAAGAAATTAAACTGTGTGAATAGTAATCAAAGTTGTAACTAAGTGGGGTGAAAATTGGTAAGATGTGAGTAGGGTTACGTAATATAGACATGTTTAGAAAGATTAGATGTTCGTGAAGGAGTATGGAGACAATTATGAAAATAAACTAGATAATAGGTGAAACGATTGAATGGGTTAGTTACTAAAAATTATTATACGAATATTGCAAAAAAATTTGATAACAAAATGTTGATGACAGATGAACTTGAAATTAAACCCACGGTAGTAGGAGGGGGTGGAGAAGTTTCTTCTGTGTGCATAATTCAGGCTTTTCTATCCAAATCGCTAAGGCTTCGGCAATACAAAGTATACGGAAGCTTGTCGATTTTGGAAGGCTTCTTTTGACTTTATAGATGACTTTGAATGACTTCTCCTTGCAAATCGAATGACCAGTGTTAAGTATATGCTCAATAATGGCGCTCCTTATTGCTCCATTGTTACCTTTCCGTAGCCAGGCGGGATAGTGTTCTTAAACTCTTTTAGATAAAACTCGAATCGAACGACCTATATACCTCGCTCCGCAAGAGCAGGTGAATTGGTAGATACACATGGAAGTGGTCAAATGCGATAGTTTATCTTTAGAGTAGTTGAAGAACAATGGCCGGGAGGAAAATGTCAGTCGTAGTGTGGCAGCGAAGAATGTCCTTCTTAGAGCAGTAGATATCCTCTTCTTCAAGGTGTCAGCCAGAAGGTCACCTTTGAAGGGTACATGCATGTAGACCATCTTCTTCTGCACTGTAGTGGGTTGTTCTTTGTAAGTCTTAGGCTTAATATGCTTGTCTATAAAACGGGGTGGGTAGCCATTCTCGAGCAGTGTCTTCCTTAAGAGGGTGATCTCTTCCTCTATTGATTCAGGACTGCAGATTTTTCGGATTCTAGTCGCCAGAGATATTATCAAGTTTCGCTTGCGACTAATTGGTACCCAACTGTAGAAGTTTGTCAACTGACCGTTCCATGTAGGTTTTCTGTGTACTGATCTGTTCAAGGTACCATCGGTCTTCTTACTTAAACGAACGTCCAGAAAGGAGATTGTCTGTTTGGTTTCTACTTCGATTGTAAATTTGATGGCGGGGTGGCAACTATTGAACACTTGAAGAACCATATTTTGATCACAATTGTTATTGCAGATGACGAAAGTATCATCAACTTACCTTTTGTATAAGAAGAATTTGTCTCTCGGACCAAGATTTTGCGACATGAACTCAAACATAAGCAAGGTCAATACTTATATCGAGTTTGAAAATTTGATCAATCAGACTACTGATCTTGTCCCAGCTTCCGAAGAAGAATTCAAACATTTTAAGTCTACTATTTTAGACTCCTGTCAACAGTATCTCAATACAAAGTCCAAGTTCAACAATCTCTTGACCAAAGAGCATAGAGAACAACTCAACCAACTGAGACAGAACAAAGAATTGCTTATCACACGCCCTGACAAAGGTACAGGTATAGTCTTAATGGATAGAAAAGATTATATTGATAAAATGGTGGCGATTGTCTCAGATAACAACAAGTTCTCAGTATGCGAGAAAGAGAAAAACAAAACCGAGGCAACGGAAAAACAGCTAACTGAGATCTTGAGAAAGCTAAAAACTGATCAAGTTATCTCTGAAAATGTCTTCGAGAGCATTCGACCGACAGGTTCAATAATACCCCGACTATACGGATTGCCAAAAACTCATAAACAAGGTCTTCCACTGCGCCCTATTTTGGACATGTCGGGATCTCCGTATCATCCAATAGCGAAATGGCTAGCAGAACTCCTACAACCTGTTAGAGAACGAATTTCAAAACATTCTCTTCGAGATACTTTTGAATTCATCGATTGTATCAAAGATGTTAAAGTGGGAGACAAACGTATGATTTCACTCGACGTCGAGTCTCTCTTTACAAACGTCCCTATCACTGAGACGATTTGTTTTCTATGCAAATACTTGGAAGAAAACAACCTGAATATTGGAATACCTACCACCAAGCTAAAAGAACTCCTACTCAGATGTACCCTAAATGTCCAGTTCACATTCAATGGGAACCTCTATAGACAACAAGATGGCGTGGCGATGGGATCACCTTTGGGTCCGTTGTTGGCTGATATTTTCATGGCAAGTTTGGAAAATGGTCCGCTGAAAGCAACCATCGACAAATTCTTCTTATACAAAAGGTATGTTGATGATACTTTCGTCATCTGCGATAACAATTGTGATCAAAATATGGTTCTTCAAGTGTTCAATAGTTGCCACCCCGCCATCAAATTTACAATCGAAGTAGAAACCAAAGAGACAATCTCCTTTCTGGACGTTCGTTTAAGTAAGAAGACCGATGGTACCTTGAACAGATCAGTACACAGAAAACCTACATGGAACGGTCAGTTGACAAACTTCTACAGTTGGGTACCAATTAGTCGCAAGCGAAACTTGATAATATCTCTGGCGACTAGAATCCGAAAAATCTGCAGTCCTGAATCAATAGAGGAAGAGATCGCCCTCTTAAGGAAGACACTGCTCGAGAATGGCTACCCACCCCGTTTTATAGACAAGCATATTAAGCCTAAGACTTACAAAGAACAACCCACTACAGTGCAGAAGAAGATGGTCTACATGAATGTACCCTTCAAAGGTGACCTTCTGGCTGACACCTTGAAGAAGAGGATATCTACTGCTCTAAGAAGGACATTCTTCGCTGCCACACTACGACTGACATTTTCCTCCCGGCCATTGTTCTTCAACTACTCTAAAGATAAACTATCGCATTTGACCACTTCCATGTGTATCTACCAATTCACCTGCTCTTGCGGAGCGAGGTATATAGGTCGTTCGATGCGAGTTTTATCTAAAAGAGTTCAAGAACACTATCCCGCCTGGCTACGGAAAGGTAACAATGGAGCAATAAGGAGCGCCATTATTGAGCATATACTTAACACTGGTCATTCGATTTGCAAGGAGAAGTCATTCAAAGTCATCTATAAAGTCAAAAGAAGCCTTCCAAAATCGACAAGCTTCCGTATACTTTGTATTGCCGAAGCCTTAGCGATTTGGATAGAAAAGCCTGAATTATGCACACAGAAGAAACTTCTCCACCCCCTCCTACTACCGTGGGTTTAATTTCAAGTTCATCTGTCATCAACATTTTGTTATCAAATTTTTTTGCAATATTCGTATAATAATTTTTAGTAACTAACCCATTCAATCGTTTCACCTATTATCTAGTTTATTTTCATAATTGTCTCCATACT